AGGAAAAAGATTAACCCAAGCTAACACCCTACTGCCAACCCAGTGCACTAGGTGCAACATGGACTACAGGTAGGTACTCTAGACTGGCCTCACTTCGTTCCTCAATCCTTTCTCTCCAAAGACATGAAATTTAGAATTCACTAATTTGAAGAAATATCAAAAGGATCACCCTCTTTCAAAGATTTTGTATCACAAAATGGTAGAAAAAAAATCCCTGATTATGTTAAATAGTGTATTTTAAGTTATGGGACTAAGTTTATTATGTAAAAGAATGAAAATTCAAGTAAATTTCAAATTAGTCACTAGGTAAGGGGAAAACTGGTCCATCAGGTTCAAATTTTATGAAAATAAATCATCTTGATATAATAATATAAAGCAGGATATATTTATAATTTATTTTTCTTAATCATGAATTAACATTCTAACACTTGGATCTTGTAAGATCCAAGAACTTTCTAGAACGATTTATCTCTTTTAAAAACTCAAGGAAACAACTTAATTCAGAACTAATCTACATTATTAGAAATACCACTAAATAATGATATTTGTGTCTAAAACTTCCTCTTCTAAATTATAAGAAACTCAAGTGTGCTCATTTGGAGCTTTTAAAATCATCATTTAAATTCACTGTTAATGCATTTATAAATACATTTAATGGTTTCTGAAACTGGAGCGGGGGATACTATCAAATCCACTTCATTATTATGTCTACATACATGGTGGCAAAACCATTTTGGAAATGATTCTAGTTTGGGAGCACCTTAATAAATTCAGTTTCCATAGTTCGGTCCTCAGTTACACCTGAAGAACTCATCTACTTGGAAACCCTGCTGCATATACAGACATACTGCTAAATTCAAATGTGACAATTCTTAGAACTCTTCATCTACTATGTACAGACACAGAATGATATACTTTGATATAGTTTATCAATTAAATAAATTAAGAGGCACTTAGCTGGAAAGGTAAAAACTTATCAGTGCCTCTCTTCCTTCTCCCCAAGGGGAGGTAGTTGAGTCAAAACAAAAAAAACATCCCGTTTACAGCCACTTAAAAGTTCAATATATTAATATTTATACTACCTAGAAAAAAATACAGGTAATTTGTGCAACGTAATTTAGACTCTAGAATTTTCCCTAAGGGGTCCAAGTTAATCGACTGGACACCAGTGTATTGTCACATTTATTTTAAGCAAAGAATATTCAATGCTTAATTTACATTAAGGACAACAAATTTTAAGCAAATGAGGACAAATTAAGTGTTTATATAGAAAATGTTGATATTCTTTAGATGGAGGGTGCCTTCCTACAACTGCTGTCAGGGGCAAGAAGAAAATAATGTGTTTGTTCATCCTATCCTATCTTGTGTTTTTTTGGGGGGTTGGGAGGAAGGGGCATGGGACAGGGGGACGAACAGACTGGGGAAGGCAAGGAGTTCCAAAAATGAAAAGCAGTAATTCCAAAGAACATAGTAAAATAGGAATAAATGTGATATGAAACACAAGTTATTGAAAACTGTAATTTACTGAAGTTTCAATTAACATCATGAAGAAATCTCTGCCTCTTCTTTAACAAACCCATTATATTATTCCTTTTATGTCCACTGACTTAGAAATAAACCACTGTTTATCTAGTTAATAAATTACATTGTAATTTATCTTCTGTTAAGCCCATACTGATAGCTTGAATTGTATTTATAAAGTAGGGCCAGAGACAGTATTCACTGCTGTGTCAGCTTCAAAAAATGAAATAATACAATCTCTTGATCTAAAATATATTTCTAACACTACAGAGGGAAAAGATAAGGGAAAATAAACATTTTCTGGAAACTTTCTATTTTTGACAATATTTAATTCCTTTTAAGTTTACAACTATCTTTAAAAGATAATTTTTTTTTTCCAAGAAAGGGAACTAATATCCTTAAACTGGTTTTCCCAAATGTCTCTATAACCATTAAACTGAAATACTAAAAATACCGGGATTTATATTCTTTATTTGGGAAAAACAAGAAAGAATTTGCTTTGGAAAGAATGCAAAAGTGGATTAGTTTAAAAGGGGTTTATTTCGGGTGCACATAATTTCTTCATTGTGAATATACATGTGATTCTCTGTACACAGGAAATGGAGTTATGTTCAAAATAATATAGACACAGCAAACAAGTTTCTTTGAAGTTACTAAAAATTATGACTACTTAAAATTAACATTCTAAAACTAAGTAAGTACTATTAATCTGAATAGTTAGTAGGTGTAGGGATTTTAAGGAATCACACTACAATAAACAAAAACATAACATGCATTCCTCTTATTAGGAAAAAGACACTTTCAAGTTATTTTTCTCATTTATACTTTTTTTTTTTAAAAAAAAAACTGTGGGTATTACTACAATTCCCACAAAATGAGGTGCTGAATGCAGATAGTCATAAGCAGGCACCATGCAAAAGCTGCCCAGTTTTGCCAATCAACCTCAATCACAATCTACAACACTGTCCCTTGGATGGCAGGCTCCAACTCTAGGGTGAAGAATCTGCCAAGTGGACAGAATAATGATCTTCTCAACAGTATTTCCATGTAAAAAATTGAGACACAACATTAGTTCAATTAGATAGGTTACTAAACATTTACAGTGTGAAGAATGCATTTTCTTAAGAGTAGTAGTCTTATTAGTTGAGTAAACAATTTATGCAATGCACATCTTGAATGTATATGCACACATGTGTACATGTAAGTATAATATATTTAGAAAGCAGACACATGACAATTTTTCATGCTTATGACCTGGTGATGTCAACAGGTCCACTCAAGTTACCTGGCTGTCTATCTTCTGCCTGACCCCTGAAACGACGCCTGCGGCTACGATTGCGTCGCTGGGGTTTTTTTTCACTATCATCTGTAATTGCAAAATTTACCATGAACTATTCTGACAAAAAACCAAACAAAAAGCAAATCAAAAATAACTTCTTTCCTTCAAAGATTTAAGGAAGGAGAAAGGGAATCTTGTAGTTAAACAGGAAAGATAAAACATACATTACTGACAGGAAAAATGTTTGTAGTTTTAAGCATTCCAAACAGATATAAAATGGAATTATCTAGAAATTAAGAGGGTTTTAACTCAAATCTGAGACTTAATTACCATCATTCAAGGAGTTTTCCTCTCCAATACAGTTTAGTTTTTACCAAAGTTAATGACATTTTAGCCCTTTGGAATTAATGCCTACTCAATATACATACCTTCACTAGTGTCATTTTTTACCTTCACTAGTGTCATTTATTAACAGTTTTTAAAGAGGCAAGAAGAAAGCCCAATTTTGGTTTAGGAGCAATAAGAGTATTAAGTGCCCTGCAGTCTGAATATCTGTATTGATTTAATGGCATCAAAGGGCACTTTAAATAAACCCTCTCTTTCAAATAACTTGGCTATACAAATCCGAGAACTAAACATTTAAAAAAGACACAAAGCTATCTTATTTGAAGTAAGCACTAAAAAATTCAGTTTGCGAATTGCATGTTTGCTTTTTTTTTTTTTTTGAAAAAATGCATCATACGGTAATAGTATTATACAATATCTATCTTTTCCCTAAGTGCTTACATACCTAGCCCATTTTCATTAACTGAAGCTGTATCAGATTCAGTCATTCCATCCATCAGAACAGCATCTTCATCAGTCCTTCGTCTACGAGACCGCCTACGACGGTTAGTACTGTGATGAGATTCGCTGGCATCAGTGTCTGCAGTCTGATCTGATTCTGTATTATCAAGTAAGCTGTATGGATTGCTGTCTGGATCTTTGAGCACTATATGCATGTCAGAGGCAAGAAATAGTCATTTAAGAGAGCTGCAGTTAATATGAATGTTTTGATCTATATTGAGCTATACCAATTAATGATAAAGAAATGTCAATTTTCCCCCAATAAAAATATACTGTCTTCAAATGTTTTCTGCATTTACCATATCTTACTGAAAAATAATATGAAAAAAAACTTTAAATGGCAGTGAAAAATTAATGCATAAGAGCAGCAGACACCTCAGCTTCCTACCGTTACTCTTTGTCTTGTTTAAATATGTTAGGAAATAATATATTACATGGTATTTCTGACATTCACATTCCTAGCTAACTCTACCCAGATTTCAGAAAAATAAATATTCGGCTAATAGAAATTAATTCTAAGAGCTTTTGTCCCCTTTACATAGTTCAATGGACTATTTCCAAATAGTACTGCACACCTGCATTCTATGATTTACCAGAAATCTGTTACTACGAACTAAAGCAATCAAAATCAATCTACACTAAGAAAGCAAACAAAAAGGTGAAACTCTAACTGGTTAAAGGAAAATGTGAAAATGAATGTTGACGAGTATTCCCATCTCCAGAAAGAGCATAAAGGTGGGGTAAGGTAGGGTGAGGATAGGAAAGGAAAAGTTTCAAGATATGATTTGTAAGGAAAAAAATACCCATCTTACCTATGTGCATTTATTGCCTCCACCAATCAAATTATAGAAGAAATTCACCTAATCACAACTTTCCCTTTCTAAGTTTCCTCTGGTAACAGCTAGCAAGCTAGCATCTTTGCAAAAAACAGTTTATCCATTAATCATAAACACTAAGTACATTAATATTGCAATTCAGAATACTATAATTTTATAAACCTTGGTAATAGTGAACAGTGTACTTAAATATAAAAACTTTTCCTGAGAGCCTGTAAACTAAAGGGCTCAAAAGAATTTCACCAGAACTAGAGAGCACCTTTTAAAAAGTCCCTAAATTTTGTAATTCGTTCCAGTTTTTCCTAATTTCTTGGTATATATTTAATTATATACACATATGTTCTATAACGCTCATAAAACTATATAAAACTTTCATAGAGAATAGTATAACATTAAGAAAGGAGTGGTTTTCCTAAAGTGGTATACAATAATGATATGTTAAGGTTATATATCACTGATATAATCTAGTCCAAGTATCCCTAACAATTCTCCCCACTAGCCCATGATGCTAGGCAAGAATATTCTGGCAACAACTAAAACATCTATTTAAAGCATTTAAAATTATCCAAAAACATGAGTAAACAGTTGTTTGAACACCTCAAATCTGTCTTCTAAACGCTCTTTACAACTCAGTTCTTCAAAGGATAAAAAAAAAATTTTTAAGATGCTTTCACCATTTTTCCCCATTCCCAAAGCAGTACAGGTGTAACAATGAATGCTTTTCAGTTAATTTTCAGTATTAAGTATAAAATAGGTATTTAGACCTCTCTGGGCATAAAAATTCTTTGAGTCTGTCTTGCAATTACATAACACCCAAAAATTCTAGGGGGAAGAACATTCTAATAACTTAAGCCCCCCAAAATTGAAGGGATAAACATCTGACCAGAGAAATCAGCTTAACTGAAAAATACTCTACAGGGCTTGCCTTCATATTGCTATATGTTCTATTTTTCTTAGACAGTGAGTGGCAAGAAAAACTTCCAAAAATGGGTGGCCCTGGTAAATGAATTAACTTGCATAAAGTTATACTGTTTACAAACAAAGAATGCTGACATAGTATATAAAAGACTACCAGAACTGATGGAAGATTTGCCACCACGTGGTCCACCACGACCTCGACCCCCTGAAACACTTCTGCCTCTTCCTCCTGGACGTCTCCTGCTGTCACGCTGATGTCGGCTCTCTCGATCATCTTCTCCTGCCAATGACCAATCACTCAGCTCGTCTTTACGCTCAGATTCTGTTTCAGAGGGGTTAGACAGCTCAGAGTTTGTACCTTGGGAAAGAAGATAACATAAGCCAATTAAGCTCCATATATTAAAAGAAAAAAAGTGAAAATCTTCAGAATTACTTCCTGCAATTCATTGTTTAAATTAACTCTACAGATTAGCTGCTTCAAAAACACTACATTAAAATTAAAATTTCAAAATTAACTAAAAATGAAATGTTAATATTATACTAGTAAATACAGTATAGTTACCTACTATTCCAATAGATTAAAAACTGAATTATCTGAATGTGCAGAAAAACAGCCGCAGAATATTAACAATACGATGAAATATTCAAAAATTTTGCCCATTTTTAGGTTTTAATATCCAATTATTAACATAATATATATAATCACTATCCGATATTTAGAAGCAAATTTAATCACATTCAGAAAAGTAACTAAATTATACCATGTATTTTACCATTATTTCACTGATATGAGAATATTTTTTCGCATTATAACATCTCTGAAATCACGGTGTTTATTATAATTGATGGCCTCAAAATTGGGAGTGTACTTTTACTGGTTGTATAAAAAATAACTTTTATGAGCAACAGTGTCTTAAATTAGAATCCAGTATTTGAAATTACTGAACAAATTTTAAGGTTATCCTGAGAAGAGGATAACCTGACAAGAGAATCAAAGCCAGGATCAGTGAGACAAAACTTCAGCATAACTAAAAATTTACAATTTTTAACATTCCAATGACTTAACAGTTACCTTTTAATAATTTACACACTCCAAATATTCTATAGAAGCCTAAAATATCATCATCATTACATCACAAAGTGTCAGATTTATGTGATTCCCAATCACTACCATACTCACTCTCATTCTACTCTTTGGTAGTTCTGGGATGCCACTTCCACTCTTCCCCTTTACCACATACCCAAACATATCTCTTTCAAAGCCCAGTCTAATTTCTAGGTTCAGGCCAATTTAACTGAAAAAAGACCTCTCCCCTTATCATATTTCCTAAGAAGTAATATATCCCTATCATGTCATGTTTGTCAAGAGTTGTTTTCTCTTGTTATCCCTTTGAATCTACTTCACACTTGGTCTATCAGAAATTTAAAGGGTGGAGCTTTGTCTCATAACTAAATGCCCCCACATGCCTACCAACGGACATAATAATTTTCTCTTAAGTAAATTTGCTGAATGATATTGAAGTTCCTTTGCTAAATTCCCAAATAAAAGTGATTCCATAATAAAAGTTCCCTATACTTAAACTCCACTATCACTTGATAACAAAAGTAAAATAAAAACTCTTCAAAAACACAAAGTTAATAGTACTGAGGTGCAGGGAGTAAAATGTGAAGTTTAACAAATGGAGCCTAATAACTTCCTTTCTCCTTTAAAGATAACTCTTCAATGCATCTTTTTTTCTCCACAAACCGTTAAATATGGATGTAACTAGTCAATTATATAAGAATGAACAAGTAAGTAGCTGGAAGACTATCGCTAGTTTCTATTTTTCAAGTCTTTGTTAGGAATAAGAGTCTCACACAAGAGAATGAATCTTCTAAATACTTTCACCAATGACCAAAAAAAAAAAAAATTTATTAACAGATGTAATGGCTTGTTGGAATAAGGGCAATTGATCATTTCATGAGTAGTGAAGAAAACTGTTGGAATGTATACAAACTTTTGAATTTATTAACAAACTTCTACTCTGCCTGAAAACACATTACCTAAATTTGAAGGTAGGTGTGTATCTCATGTGTAAAGATTTTAACAAACGTACCTAGTGAATTCTCTTTAGAAATACAGAGTAGTATCTAACTCAGTGTCATAAGCAAGGAAATTCTTCCTTAAATTTAACCTAATGTACTATTCAAAATATTTAAATAGGATGTCAAAATCATAGATTTCAACAGATAAGACAGATAACAAGGTCAAAAACAGAAAACAAAAAGGCTATTGGCTAGTGCTCCACTTTATTCATTTTAAATAACCCTTAAACATGTTTGACATGGTAAAGGGATTTTGTAGATGCACTCAAGGTTAAGAATACTGAGGTCGGGGGATTATCCAAGCGAAGCCAAACCAATCACAAGCATCTTTAATAAAGAATCTTTCTCAGCTGCAGAGAACCAGAGAGGGGGCAGTGTAAGGACTCTCCACAGTTACTGATTTCATAAGATGGAGAGAGAGGGGGCCATGAGCCAAGGAAGGGAGGTGGTCTCTAAAAGCTGGAAATATCAAGAAACAGATTCTCCCCTAAAGCCTCCAGATAGTAATATATCTCTGCAAAAACTTAAGACTAGTGAGACTCGTCAGAATTCTGACCTACAGAAATATAATAAATTTGTATTGTTCAAGTTTCTAAGTGTGTAATTTGATACAGCACCTAGAGAAAATACTGTTACAATCACTGTAATCATTCCAATCTCTCAAATTTGTAAAATATAAGTTCACAAAACCAAAAATTAAAAAAGCTTTAAAAATGATTCATGAAACTGATTCCATTTTTAATCATGCCCATAAATGAAAAGACATGTTTTTAACAGAATTTTAAGATTTCCCCCTAAAACTTCTAAAATCACTTTATATAAAGATGGTTCACATCCTTTTCAATGATCATGTATGCTCAACTTAATAGATGAAGTACCACATTTTATCAAATCCAACATGCCATCCGTTGAGAGTATTTTGTGTGCCATTAAAGAAAATGCTGCCAATTAAAGTTGTAAGGCATCACCCATTGTTAGATATGTATCAATTTCAGAGACGTTATACTGAGAAAATGTTTCTTATACAGCTCATATAAATTATCTTTTAAAAATTCTTCTGATATTAAGTGGATAGTAAAATCTATAACTAAATTCAAATGTTATTTCTCTCAAGTCCACTTAAGTTTGACAGCTATTTCAAGAAATGTTACTAGTCTGCAAAGATTCGGAGGTAAGAGTGCCATCTACTGAACAATTTGCATAGCTTTCTTCAATTCCAATATTCCTCTACCACTCTCATATAAATTATCTACTGTCAACAAAAGCATTTTGCCAAAGAGTGACTTCTCATCAATAAGCTAACTTGACTTCCCACAGAGGCTTATGAAATTATTCAGTGAATTCATTCTTATCATCCAAATAGACAAATCTGATCATATGAACTCGTAATTTATACCTCTAAAAACATTCAGTATGTACCTAATTTCTATTTAATTACTGGTTGTCTTTTGTATTATATGTATTTTCAGAAATACAATAGTTCACAGTTCTCAGGCTATCACATGCTAAACAATTTTACTCTACTGGAATTTTGCTTTTCAGGTTTCAATACAGAATTAACTTTAAAATAACAAAAAAATTAAGACATGAAAGGAATAATTAACCTTCCAACTCTACAACAAATAAGAGAGTACAAATTTAATATAATTGGCATCACTAAATGGTCCTTCGAACATGAAATCTGGATGTGGAATCTGATGAACACTGTAAGCTTTTGTGTGTTCTATTTCCCCTAAATGCCTTTTGTTTTAGAAAAGTCTCATGAAATATTTGCCTAAAGCAGTTAGGATAAGCATGGGGAGTGAAGGGGAAGAAAAGAGGAAGAGAAGAGAACAAAGGAGGAAAAAAACCAGTCACTGCTAAGATCCAAGTCCAAATGTAGAAAAACGGAACAACTCCAAAGCTGAAGAAGAATAAGTAAGAATTTAGAATTAGAGAATTATTGACCATCACCATCCACTGGCTCCTATGGGTTAGGTTCCATCCTCACAGTGAAGTAAGTACATGTGAGAAAAATGTTCATTTATAAAATGTTAATTAGGTTGACTTTTAAAGCCCTCATTTTAGTGAAATGCTATTATTTCACAAAATTCCAGATGTGATATTAATATTTAAAACTGCTGGATGAGCCAATAAAGTATATTTTTAAAGCTAGTATAGATTTGCTATATGCAATCTTAGCACAGTGCTTAACATAATTTTTCATTTTTTTTCCTAGAAGGTAAGCGAAAGATGATTTCTAGCAGCATCACCATTACTAGGGTTTTTATTGAAAAATGTACACAACTGTACAAGAGAAATATTTGAAGTTTCACATATATTTATTCTAAATATTTAGAATAACCAATCATGAACTACCAACAAAAACATGCTTCATTTCATTACATAGCTGCTTAAACACATTATATACCTTTCACTGTCATTAATATAAAGTATGCCGTCACTACTGTATTAAGATATACACCTCAGAACAATCTACTGCCCTTGAAGTTAAGATTAAGTGAGAAACTAAATAATAAGCATCAAAATGTACTGGAGCACCTAAACTAGTTCTACAAAAAAAATGTTTTTTTTACCATAACCGGAGGTGTAATTAGGGCCCCGACGACCTCTGCCTCTTCCACTATAAGACCTAGAACCTTGTACAGAAGAGACGGTACTTTCATCAGTGGCATATCCTTTCTCTTTTTCAGGCCCTCTGGTGGAAGAAGGTCTGAAACCCATACCAATCTGTCGTAGCTGTTCATCAATCTGCAGGCGTTCCATTCTTAGCTGTTCTACTTCCTGTAATCAAAACAAAAAGGGTAAATCTTATTTGTAACTTTTTATCTCCCTTGCTCTTTACCAACTCAAATAGTCTACATCAGAAACAATAGTTAAAAATTATAAAAAGATATCAACGAGATAATGAATATGATCTGGACAAAACCAGTTACCAAGAAAGCCTATCTTCATTTCTAGTTCTGTGCTCTATTTGCATCTGTACAGAACATGTAGGGACATAAGTGATAACAAATTACAGAAACACCAGAGTGACCATTTTTCTTAAACAGTTCTGTGCTCTATTTGCATCTGTACAGAACATGTAGGTACATAAGTGATAACAAATTACAGAAACACCAGAGTGACCATTTTTCTTAAACAGTAGGAAAAGAAATGTAAAAGTTTAGAGAGGAGAGAAAGAGAAACAATGTACATGAGGCCAATCATTTCATTATGGCAAAGAACCTTTTACTTTTAAATTCTCATGTACAAAAAAAGGGCATATCTGAACCTGGATTAAAAATATGTTAAGATTTGAAATTTATTACAAATATAAAGTTCATTTAACTTTAAGTTTCATGTTTAGAGCAACAATAATGTAAATATAAACAGTATACAAACCTTTAGATAAGCAATATGATACTCTAAAAGAACTTGCACATTTCCGATGCTTTCTTTAGTGCCAACAAACACAAATGGAACCATCCCCTGTAAGAAAACACAACGTCCTCAAGCATTTAATATTTTAATGTACTTCTAGCCTAAATCTGACATACCAATATATAACTTGGAAAACTTTTCTGAAACACACAGCAATTTACATCTACTGAACTTCAAGATTTAAAAATAAACGGTTTTTAAAAAATTTTGAAATACTGAGATTTTCATTGTCTTATCTGCACAACTAAGTGTTTAAGTATGCTAAAAGTTTAAGAAATTTTTTAAATATCAGTTCACATCAGGTTTTCTAATTTCTAAGTCAATCTAATTTTCTAATATAAACCAACTTTTAAAGGCATTTTCCTTCCAACTGTCATGAATTTATAGACTAGACATATCGTATTACCTTAGTAGTGATTGCTTTAAAAACATAATAAAACACGTAGCCAGGTTATCCTTATAATATGTGCTCAGATAACAAACCCTTTGATGTCTATGTGTTGGAGGGAGTGCCATTAATGGAAGTATCACCCACAGAGTAGAAATACTTACACAAAAGAAAATAAAAGAATGACTGGTAAGGGCACATACTTAGTCACAGATACTAAAGCATATCAAAGGATTAACCCAGACCCTGTTTACTATACTGAACTTCAAGAGGAAGGTTTAACCTAGTTCCTGTTTGTCCTGAGAATACTCTCCAGCAGCACTTGTGTTTGCAGCGTTTACCCTGAGGTAACTCGCGGATTACAGTCCTAAACGTACCCCCTAAAGTTTGCCACGATATATCTCGCTTTTATTATTATTTTCTCATCGCTCTAGTATATCAATAGCCTTTGGAAACAAATGACATCATTGTATTTATAGCATTCTGTTTATAGTAGTGGTATTTCCATTTACAAAATATAATAATTCTCAATCGCTGAAAATGTCAAATCCCAGGAAATGTAGCATTCCTACACGTGATGTGAACACTGTTCTCAAACAGCTGTTTGCTGAAGATTCACTTGATGAATCCGACTTATACATTTGTTACATTCAAATCAGAGACAAATTCTGTTTAGAAATAACTCAAAGAACAGTTTTTATATTTTATTTTCACATAGAAAACCAGTCAGATTTACTTCAGCCTCAAAGAGCATGTTTATATAAAATTAATGCTGGCAGTGAGCTGCACTTTTTTTTTCCTAAATGAGAAATGGGTTAAGAAAGTGAGAAAAGAAACAAGATAACTAATTGATGGGCTTTTTCCTTTTAAGAAATACACTTCCAGCTTACTATACTGGCTAAGGAGAATGAGTAAAGCCTAAACAAACTTCATCCAATCAATTTCAGTATCTCTCATTTCTTGACTTTAGAAAATAGTTCCTAACAGTTATGGAACAAAGTACAGCTTAAGAACTTTTGAGTCTGTATAATAAAATACTCTATGACTTATTTTCAAACTAATTTTTTAAAAATTTAATTGGCAAACTTTAAATATGGGAAATTAAAAAGTAGAAAAACACACCAGGGTAGGTGGTAAGGATGCAATACAGAGCATAGCTATTATGGAACTTATAGAAAGCTGTAGTGACTCTAAAGAAGTAATCATGAAGACATGAAAAAAGGGAATCTAACTTAAACTTACGAAGTGAATCTTGATCCTGTCCTCAGGAATTCACATGCAGATAAAAGGATGCAAAGTGAATAAAAGCCAGAGGAGGGGTGGGGAATTTTTTTTTTTATTTTAAGCACATACCATATTCCTGGGACTATATTATTTATTCTATATCTTAATGTTCATTAAGAAGTAACTTTAAAAAATACACCAATTTTATAGTTAGGAAAACAATCTGCCCAGATTATTTCACATCTAGTTACCTAATTTCAAATAATATCAACCTGGTTAATTGCCAGAATTTATGTTAATGAATAAAAGTCCCTGCTCTAAAGGCAACCACAATCTCAGAAAAGATACTAAACATTCCTATAATATCTCATTGTGTAGCCACTACTGATATGAAAAACATTAGTAATATTAGACAGAATGTGCATTATGCTACCCTAGATGTGGAAACTTAGGGGAATTCCCAATATATTGTTACTGAAAGTGGCTTTTAAAAACAAAGAAGATTTTACCAAGTAGATAAAGGGAAAGTCATTCCAGACAGATGACCTGAAAGGAATAAGAGAAATACAACGCCTTGACCCTGAACTGGAAATGTTATCACCCTTAGTTACCTCCAAAGACAAGGAGAGGTAAAAAGATATTTTAATGGCTACTTGAAAGCCATAGGAAGAAAAAATTTAAAGAGTAATTATTACTGAACATATGAGTTCATTTCTAAGTTATTTCAGTAAAATTTCTGATTTTTTAAACTTGCTAAAAACTGATTACTTATATTTAATAGATGGCATTGAAACAACCAACTAGCACTCAAAAAACTAAAGCAGAATCCCTCCTTCCTGATACCTTACAACAAAAAAATTCTACTTTGCAAAATTTAGCATTTAAGTGTGCTAAAAATCTGATAACTTTTTACATATTAAGTTTATATCAGGTTTTCTAATCTCATGAGTGAAAAATTTACAAACCAAAAGACTAGAAAATAAAATATAAATGAATTTCTGAATGATCTATAAGTAGTAAAGACCCTGCCAGGAAGGACACAAAATGCAGAAGTCATAAGTCATAAAGCATAAGCCTAAAAAATCCAATATAAAAAAAATTTTAAATGTCAGCACAGGAAAAAAAAAAATCAAAAGAAAACAAAAAGTATCTTGCCACACATATGGAAAGATTAACCTCCTTAAAATGCGAAAAGCTCTTATAACTCAGGAATAATAAAGACAAAAAAAAAAGGCAAAGGACAAACAAGCTATTTACAGAAAAAAATAAAAATATCTTTTAAGCATATGGAATGGTAATGTACACCTTCTGGAATGAAACTAAAGTATGATAAAACCCAATTATTGACAAATATGTGGGAAATGGACACATTTCCTATATTTGTGAAAGAAATGTGTGGGAAAATCAACCGAGATCTAAAAATTTAAATGCCATATACCTTTTGATCTAACAAATCCACTTTCAGGAATTTACTCTCCAGTCACAGGGATGTTTGCTGAGGCATTGTTTTTAACAGCAAAACAAAGACATGAAAAGGTAACCTGACAACAGTGTAAAATCTATTAGGCACGATGGAGAGAGAAGAGAAACATGGACAGGACATAGATATACATTTAGTTTTCACGCTAAACTCTTCTGTCCTACTCTCTTACACAAACATTTCTTTTACAATTAAAAATTCAAATCTAATTCTTCAAAAATCTTAACTAATATAAAATATTTATCAAGTGCCTACTCTATATAATTCAGTGTGCTGAGAATGAAGAAAATGAGAATTCAGATTTGATTTCTTGAGTCCAAAATCTGGCTTAAAAATATAAATCAGAAAATCTATAAGGCTAAAAGAGTATCATTAAATACCCAATTATATAGACAATGATAATTATGGTATACAGGTGGAAAAGGTCATCTCTGCCTAAAGGTGTGTCACCAAAGACTTCAGAGTAAGCGAGTTATAAACTGAGTCTCCAGAGGATTTAGACAACTTTAATTGTAAAATGGTGTACCCAGATAAGCCAGTATCAACCTTCAGATTTGTTTTAACATGCAATGTTTTGAAAATTCAAAACATAATGCAGCATTCCCACATGTGAACTACATTAAAGCTGAGCATGTTTGTTTTATAGAAAGGCACCAGGTGCCCTCCCATCCATCTATATATGTCAATCTGCTTAATCAATCATTTACATAATCTGCTTGATTTCTGTAAGCATTTAAATCTAACCCTGGCCCAGAAATAGCAATGAAAATGACCAAAACTACAAGCATCAAAAAGGGTAAGTTTTTATTTATAAAGGAGGTCCTAGAAGAATTAGTTTGCAACAAGATGGTAAATATGCAAAACAACTAGGATAAGTCAAGCTAAGAAAAGTTTAAATATCAAGAAATTTATACAAGTCATTTAATGGCCTTGGCCAGTAAACCTCTTGATCTTCAAACCAATTTCAGGTGGTGGCTGTATGCCAAATGAACTGCCATTATTTTATATATTAAGTATAAAGGGGGAAGTGCCTATAATAACAGTATGACACCACTGACCTTACTCTTTTATCTCTAAGATATCTTAAAGTCATGAAAAATGGGGTAGGGGGCCTTAAGAATAAGTAAGTTACTTGATATTTATAGCAATTTCAAAACACTGCAAGATGAAATCAATCTGAACTACAAGCATTCATTTATATAATACCAAGTCATTTGTTTTCCTCATTCGTTTTAAGTGTATATACCTACATGTTCTAATTAAAATGAATAAAGGAAGTGTCTATCTTTAATAGGCATCTTTATAACATCCTTGATGTGAGACTATTTATCTGGGCTAAATATCTACAGTTTTGTTTGTTTTATAACACTGACTTTATCCAATCAGCTAAAAAATCTCTCCAAATAGTAATCTATTCAGCAGAACTAAAGAAGTTGTAAGTATATTGCTTTCTGGAAGATAATTTGGGAGAAAATCCTTGCCTTACATTCAGGCATACAAAGTTTAAGTCAACTATAGAGTTAACTACTGGAACCACAAGGGTTAAGAGATCTTTAAAGTGATGTACAAAGAGCAAAGAACAGCACTGTGGACGAAACATCAACATGTAAGAATGAAAAAAAAAATTCATAAAGCTGGTACCAAAATTAATAGCAACATAAAAGCTTAAATATGTCAATTAAAAAATGGTCAGTAGTTACAGATTCTATAAAAAATGTCAAGGAGAACGTTATTTATCAAGAATTCCTTTCTAGAGACTGCTTTGTAGAATATCAAATTCCACTGCTTTACATTCTAAGTACAAAAAAGAACTGTTAAGATCATGAAATTAAAACCTTTTTATCAAAAACTGGCTTTTTACTGAAGTATTGAGAAACCAACTAAGAATCCAAGGCACACAGTTAAAAGATGGACTGTTTTCTAATTGTGTGAAGAAATATAAAAAACAGCATTTTTTTAAAAAGAAAAATCCACTGCACCAGAGCATAAGTAGCTCACTAGATATAAACTAGATGTAAAATCATTTCATAAAACCATTTCCAAAATATGAAGTAACATTATAAGTCAGCCAAGAAAAGAACATGAAAAAAACAGGCCAATTAAACTAATTTTAAATACTTACATCTTCTCTAGGTAGTTTATTTTCATTGTCTCCTTCGATTCTCACCCGAACCACACCAGATTTGTCCACTATTTCTTGAATAACTTTGCCATTTTTTCCAATTACTTTTCCTTTAATAAGAAAACAAATATTATGGTTAAGTTAAAAACTAATACTGCTATCCTTTCAACACTGTCTAAATAATTTTTCACTTGCTATTAGATTATAAAAACCCAGCAGCTATGCTCCATCTTTCTTTCAATTAACTCACCCCTAAAGACCCCTGAGAAATTTTATCTTTTGTCTGAAACCTCCTTCTCTTCAGTATGCCTAAGGCAATTATTAACTGGGATTGACAATGTGGCTGGCATGTACATCATTTTCAAAGTCTAAACATTTTTTTAATATGTTCTACATTATTTTTATATTTTTAAAATATCGAGTCTAACTCATTTCATAAGCTTAGATACATTAATAAAGGCAAAAAAATTTTTATTTTGACATAAATCACGTGTTTATTTATTATAATTATTCAAACAATTAACAAATTCAATCTTGCTTTATTTTCAAGTTTCTATTTGTTCAAAAGACACCTATGACTTGAAGATACTTTTAAAATGACTATGCTCTTCACTGAAAGTTTACATTTAAGAAGTGTAACATTTAAACCAGTTAAGTTTTTAAAGTACTTCACAACAATATAAACACAGCATATATATATGGTATGCTGTCTTCCTAGATATGAAATACTGTAATGACATAAATCCAAATTTTTTATTTTCTCCACAATTAACCTATTAAGTCTATCAAATAGCAGTTACTGAGTATCCAATAATTAGAGGAGAACCCTACAAGGGGAGGAACATGAAGACTCTTCACCTTAGGAATTTACTAGTTATAAAGATAACATACACTCACATAAAATAACAAAACAATACTGGGTTGTGTTACCTGGTAACAGAATATTCAGGTAACCTTCATTCCCTGTAGAGAATGGATGTATCCCTTATAAAGTTAATAGCAACACTATATTTGTTACTGAGTAAGTCATTTTTAAGTCTGAATCCCCAATTAATTTTTTACTAAATAAGCAATCTATTTTCACGATAAATTAATTTTGGTTGAAAAGGGTTAAAATGGATTTTTTCCCTATTGCAAGCTTGAGAGAACAGTTTCCATTCAGGAATAAAAAAGAGAACAATAAAGCTGGTCAATACAGCGAAGACGCTATTATGGTATTTTCTATCCCTATTCTCAAAACCTCCTTCCCCATTAATAACCCTAAATTTAAAATTGACAGCAATTGAACAGGTTAAAAAAAAAAAAAAAAACGAAGGTCAGGGACTTCACATGATGTATGTCTTCTCTGAGCAGCCCTAGCAGCAGCATATAAAAGCAACCTTCATTGTTAAGACAGTGAAGCTCAAGCAGCAACTCCATCCTTGACCCTGCTAAAAATAAGCAAATATCTTTTCGAAAAAACAATTATCATGTTGATATAGCAGAATACCCCCACCCCACAAATCTGTGCCCCTTTCTTCTTGTGAACTATACCAGTGGTGAGTGAACAGCCATCACCACCCTTCTGGGGTCTATGGCAAGGACCTACCTGTGAGTTTTATTTAGTCCCACCAGAGACTGTCAATATTTTAACTGATCAATTCCAAAACATAATGACAAACTGAAGCAGACCCATAGCACAAAACTGAGTACTGAGCATAAATGCTGAAGGGACAGAGTAGAGAAGTGATTAATGAAGGCTTCTAGGTGAAAAATTTTGATTCGTTTTCAAATGAATGTTCACATATTTTTTTCTTTTGATTTGGGAAGGGTGGGAGTAGCTAAGTTCTAGAACTAACTCTTGAAACCTGAATGTGTAACGGAATCCTCTCTGGAACTTACCCACCAAGTAGTCCTCATTCCCTTTTATTCCTCAGTCTTTTTCTCTTTCTCTTGGACTAAGAATGCATTATTTTTCAAAAGACAGCTTCGCCCATAAACCATTTTGGAGGGAAATATACTATTATTATATACAACAACTAACTGAAATCTTTATACTACTTCTGATAATTTCACCAATGTATAATGGCTGCTGCTAATGTGTATTTCCTAAAGAGTACACAAATCACCCAATCACCAAAGCGAACCAAGACAGGCAGAGGAAAAATGAAACAATGACAGGCACTCACATCACTGCACAGATGGATGAATAAAGAATCAGGTAACTACAAACATATCCAAATCATTTTTACAAGTGAAAAAAAATCCCAAGTTAAATTATGTTCTGTGAAGCAGCAACTCAATGTTTGTACTTATAGCTGTCAATAATTGAATATAATTTAAACAAAAGGGATCATTTTCAAACTCAGCTTTCTTAACAAAGGTAATTTCATTTGACAATATTTGATAATTTTGTAGCATAACAGTTACTAAAATTACACTAAATTCTTCAAACTTATATTCAATTTTAACATCTCAACTCTCTCCAACAGTTCAGTCTACAGTGAACAGTGGTTTCCAAGAAGAGATAAAGTGGAAATTACTTAACTGGCAATTATGTCATACCTACACAAATGCTTGGGCAAATTTGAAAAGCTTTTTATAATAATGAGTACCAAGAAACTGTCCAAATTTTTACATTGTACACTACTGTACCATAGTATACTATTGTTATTGGCCAAAACAAACATCCATTTTTATAGTACAAGGTTTTAATTTTCTCCAATATTTAATAGAATTTGACAAATAGAACACCTATAGCAAAGAAATCATTTCCTAAAGACAGAATCGGGCTATTTACATGTAAATGGAGCCCAAGGGGTTCTAATAATGTCAATAAGGTTAAAAAAAAAAAAAAAACTGATACAATAGGTGATTTATTCCCCTTCTAATAAACTTCGCTATTTATATTGATGCTTATTTTTTAAATTTCTAGAAAAATCGAAGTATTCAACATGTGATAAAAGCTTTCCCATGTCTCAAATAGCATTCAAAAGGACAGACAGCACAAATAGAGGACATAAATAACAAAGCTATTAAACAACTCATCCCAAACTATAACTATAATGTTCATTTAATTACAGCTTCAAACTCAAAATTTTTATCACAATTTCTAACCTATGAGTACAGAAGTTATCATTAATGGTATCAAAAACTTTAATAGTGAAACCTATCATACATAACATCCTTCTCCTCTCCTGCCCATGACATCTTACCTTATTCTATGCCTTTACAAAAACCAATTATTTATTCAGTGTCCACTGTGCAAAAATTTTATTACTCTGTTGTTAGTTCACTCTCTGCACTAAACAAAAGAAAAAAATTACCACACCTTCTCAAAAAGTACTGGCAATTTTGATATGTATATGAATAAAAAGACACTGAGTGAACAGGACTAATAAGAGCTCAGGGCATAAAAACGCTTAAAAACTGTAATGACAAACTGTTACAAAAATTATGGGTCTTAGCGGGTCGCCTTGTACAGAAAAGACATCTTTACTTTTTAACATGACAGTGATGAGACAGTCACATACAAATTTATTAATGAAAAAATAAAATCAAGTATTGCTATCAAAATACTCTACTAAAGTAATATATCATACAAGACTAATTTTCAACTAAGTCATTGTCTGTAATTAAATAACATTTAACTTATATAACATGTAGAACGAGTACCTACCAACAAGATTCCTAGGAACCTGAATAAAATCCTCCACAAATTCCAAGAAACTTCTAGCCTTTTTTACAGCATCAGCGCTCTGGGGGAGAGGGAAGGGGGAGAGAACAAACATGAAAAAAACCCTGAAGAAACCCCAAAATCCAAAACAAAAAACATGAGAAATGAGAAAAATCTGAATTATTATGTTCTCGTACAAGATTCTCAGCCCACCAGACTGACATTTCAGGTCAAGTAATTCATGAAGTACTTTAAAAAAAAGAGGACTAGGAAAAAAGATACTATTAGAACCAAAACATATAAAACATCTCTAAGGTCCCTTTTTAAGCTCCTGAGAAAATTAGCAAGAGAGTTTAACTTACTTATGTTAGCCAAATTTTAACCCAGTCCTAAATACATTTGGTCCATTCTCCATGTTGAATTTCTCCAGGTAAACATTAAAAACAAATTGTTCATATTGTCTCCAGGGGTCACCCCCGGGGCCGTGGACAGGTACCTGTCTTGGCCTGTTAAGAAAGGGGCCGCACAGAAGGAGGTGAGCGGCAGGCCAGAGAGCGAAGCTTACATCTGTATTTGCAGCCGCTTCCCCAGAACTAACATCATCCTCAGATCATCAGGTATTAGATTCTCATAGGAACACTGCTCTAAAGAGAATTCACTGTTCTCAGTAACATTTAACTTCCACTTTTAATGTTTGTTCTTTGATAATCATAAATCAAGTATATTTTGTGCTCATCATATACTATATATAATAAAATTTTTTAAAGGTATTTAATCTTCAAATTTTAAGGTAAGCACTATTACATTTCTTATTTTCAAAGTGAGGAAAATGATGCAAGGAGGTTAAATAACTTTATTCAAGCCCGCTCAAAGTGATAGATACAGAATTCCAACTCAGGAAACATGCCTTCAAAGCTTTTCAACTTACTTTGTTATACTGTCCACTTCTCCAGGTTTGAGAAATAAAAATTAGGCCTATAATCAGATTTACTTTATAACTCAAGCTTTTCATAAGAGCTATGTATGAGAAGTCAAGAAGTGAAATTAAATTATCACCCCAAAGAATTTCACCCACTTATTCTAACGTGAAGGATGGTCTCAATGAAAGCTTTGAATTATTTTTCAGTTTCTTGTCCACACAAATTTCATAATTAACCAGTGATAAAATATCTAAATTCAAGTTCTACCAAAGCTGTTCTATCCTATGCTATTTACAACTGCCAGTGCCTGACATATAATAAGCATGCAAAGAGTAGTTGAACAAATTGTTTGTAATGCACATAAAACAGAGTTAAACTCAGAAGCGGTTAGTTAAGAAACTTCTGAAAATAGTACATTATTCAGTAAACCTTTCACTGCCCCATATATCATCTTCAATCCACATGCATATGTGTAATGATTACTAGGCTGACTGATTTAAAGTGTTTCACTGAGAAATTCAAATTCCAAATAAACATGATCAAACAATAATGTTATAGCAAAGTTACCTCACTAGGTGGGGGACAGAAAACAGCTTACCTCTCCATAGATTCTAAACGTTCCAGTATCTTCATCCAGCTCAATAGCTGTAACTCCAGGAACCTTCCTAGCTTGCTGTATGTTACTACCATGTGTTCCTATTGCCAGGCCCATCAAATCTTCTCTCACAACAAATTCCTCATGAAAAGCTGCCGCAAGTTGTTTTGTGCACTAGTAAAAGAGATAAATTAGAATTATAAAAATCAAAAACAAAAAGGTTTTTATATACCACCCACGGTTCACAGCTTTACAACAGTCACAAAAAGATAATGTTGTATGATTCCACTTACAGGTGGTATCTAAAGTAGTCACATTCATACAAACAAAACGGAATGGTGGTTGCCTAGGGCTGGGGGCGGGGGCCGGGAGGTAAGGGGAAGTTGTTTAATGGGTAGAGTTTCAGGTTTGCAAGATGAAAACTTGAGATTGTTTGATCAACAATGTGAATATACTTAACACTACTTAAATGTACACTTAAAAATGATTAAGATGGTAAATGTTATATTATGTGTATTTTACCACAATTAAAAATAACAAAAAAAAAAAAAAAACCTGAAAAAACGAATAAAGAAAACTCATTTGGGGGTCATATAATGGAATGGGGGAAATGGTTTGATGAATCTATTTAGTCATGGTCACAGAAAACAGTAATTCTAAAATAATTTTCTAGAATTACTGATACAGGCAGTTCTCCAATTCAGATGATTCATGTTTCAAAATTCATTTGCATAACTTGTTTGGAACTTTTAAATTAGTAAGAACACTTGCAAAAGTTGTCCTAAAGATAACATCATCTCAATTTCTCTAATTCAGAGTATGTGCATGTACATTTAAGGGAATGTGGGAGGAACAAGTCCCTTAATAAGTATGGCTGTGACAAATAGAAGAAAACATGAGTATCTTAGGACAAAATAGAAAACCAACCTTAGGCTCTTTTAAATGCTGTGTGTCCTACTCTTCTCTTACATAAGAGTTGTTATAATAACCTAGTTACTAATGAAAGTGCGTTGTGACTGACAGGGGACAAAGGAGTAAAACAAAAAAAAAAAAAAAAGGTTAAGGACAGAGCAAAGAAGAATTAGCAATACAGTTCTACTAGATATCCCAAGTGAGTTTCTAAACTCTCTGGCACCTGTCATCTAAGACCTAACAAAAAATTCAAAAGGCATTTAGCAAATGAAAGGTATATTTGAGAAAAGTAATAGAAAAAAAGAAATTCTTCTAAGAACACAATGACACCACAAAACAGGTTCTAAGTTCCCTTACCTAATAGTCAAGTAGTAGTTTAAGCCAGGGAACTTGAATATACTTATGAAACTGGGACACAAAATAAAACCTTTAGAGTAAACACACTTACTTCTAAATGCTTAGTGGCCTCTTCATTTCTGGACATAAGCATCAACTTTGTACGAATACTTCGCAAATGCATGTCACTTAAAATATTTACTCTCTTCACAGTTGCCTCACTGGCAGACTATAAACAAACAAGGTAATCACTCAAAAAATTATTTTTCAAGATAATACAAATACAACCTTCACAATAAGCCTTCCTTGATTCTCACCTACCACACTTCTCTCCTCACCTAACATACACTCCCCACCTCCCTTGGCCTTACCCCAAGTAATCTACTTCCCTTCTGAATTTCCATACTATGTAATTCTGCTATTCACACTATGATGGGAGAGGGAACCCCATACACTGAGAATTTTATATGACGTTAAGATCACTTTGTGAGTTACATATATATATATATATATAATCACTATGTTGTACACCTGAAACTAATATATTGTATGCCAACTATAACAAAAACATTATTTTAAAAAATCTGGGCAGAAATCAACATAATATTTTTAAAAAGTCAAAAGATTTTTTCCTCCATAAGAAATAAAATATTAACATTTTATACCTACAAAAAATTTTTTCTCCCACACTGTATTAATAAAATCACTATATACAAAGTTAGCTTTTATTTTCTGAAATAGTCAATGGTAAAATCTGTCAATAACCATTAGCTTAAAATACGGAGTTACCTTACCAGTATCATTAGCTGTGTGGTTTCTGGATGGTAAAAAATTCTGCATGCTCCTACTGCTTTCTTAAAATCTTTATGTGCATTTTCATTAGCACACCTAAGGAAGAAATTAATTCGTGTATAAAACTAAGTAACAGATTAAAGGGCAATTATAATGCAAACTCAGTTATTTCATTTTGACACCACCCATTAAAATTTTTATTAAAGAGATTTACCAGAAGTTTCTGATTGGGTGTTTGGGGAAAAAAGATTTTTGTAGCACTGAAAAATCCTCTTAATTCACAAAGCAATTCAATAGTAAACAAAATTACTCACGCCTCTCTCAAATCTTCAGGAACATCCACTGTGCATTTAAAGAAGGTATTTTTTTTGACAGTTTTATTTTGATTGACAGGCCGAAGTCGTTCAAATGTGACTATTTCATTGTAAGTGGCATCACAAGCAGCATATTCAATGACATAAAACTAAAAGACATCAAAATACTTTAAAAATCCCATATGAACAAAAATAATAAGCTTTAAATGAAGTTCTAATTACCTTGCTCAGCTTAAACAGATGACCCTCCCCCTTGTGGCACAAATATCAAGCACAGCTTAGTTACATCAATCCGATTTGCCTAAACTAGATTATAAGTTCTTACAAGATGAACCTTGGTGGCCCTTACATGCTCAGGGTGTACCTCTGGAGATCAGATTTGGTGTTTCCAAATTCAGAACACATAGAAATTAATGGTTTGACAAATTTTTGAAATGTGTGATAAACTATTTCTGAAGTAGGCTTTTAGATAAACAGTTGGAGGAACATTTTCAGAAACCAAAAGTTGAGTATTTCTTGGGAAACTAGTCACAAACCAAGTGTTAATTTCACTTACTTCTCCTTTCATCATTCGAACTTTAGCCAACCACCATCCACAAGGTTCTTGGTCATTTGCTCTTGAATATACCTGAGAAGGAGAGGGGGGAAAAGCCTTCATTCATTCATCCCAAAAGATTTCAACATTGTAAATAATGCCTTATTATAAATGCCAAATCCTGTTAAACTCCAGAATCAAAAATGTTATTGTACTGAAATTGGCTTACTAAAGTAGGTTAATAAAACCTGCTTAAATTCTACTACTGAAAAATAAAACAACCTTTTTGGGGCAAACTGGCTCCTTGAAAATCGAATTCATGAGGGTTTAATAACATATTTTATAGAAATGCTTCTTAAAAGCAGTTTTACAAAGTGTAAAAAATAGCTCTTTCTGGTTCTGTTAAAATTGTTCAAGTATTGCGTTTTGATGATTCAAGTATGAGAATAAAAAACTAGTACTTTAATTAGAGATTTATTTTAAATGATATATTTGTAAGATGTTAAAATCAAGAACTCTGATTTCAATATCTTATAAATTATCAACTTCATTGTTCACCATAATTAGAAAAAAGCTATGAGAAAAAAAAGATATGCCTATATACCAACTAGGCTGATAAACCAAATTTTAAAATTCTTTCAAGGATTTGACATTAGGATTCCTTGCTGAAGAACCTAGATCAAATGTACTAAACATTTAGCGGATAAAAAATTACACATTAGTCCATCTAGCGGAGTACATAAGTATCTTACAAAACCCCCTATCCAAAAAATATATATATTCTATATGCTCTGTATCTGTAATTATCAAGTATTTTTTAACATAATAAAGTCTCCATTAAAGATTAGTTATTTTTTATGATACAGCAGTTTTAATGTATTTTTTTTAATACATGGAAAACTGGAGGAAAGGCTTGAGAAGAGATGACTAAGAATTATCCCACAAAAATCTTGATTTTACAAACTAAAGTTGCCCCTACAGAGGTGGCCAGAGAAATCCACCAATACATGTTAACGGCCATCTGTGAGATAAAGGCAAACTACTATTCACAGGCAAGTAGTTTTGGAAAGCCTGAAGCTTCTATCAAAATGACCTGAGTGTCATTACTGTTTTTAAAAAAATCTAAAGAAAACAGAAGAATGATGGTATCACCTAGAAGAATACAACAGTGAAATAGTTACTATTATATCATCCTCTAGTTTCTGTAAGTACTGCACTGCACAGCGTTTCAAGAATATATGAAAAGACTGGAAACAACATTCTTGCAGTCTGCCTTTGACTACTGTTGAACAGTTAAGAATTCATAACTTTTATTTTCCATTCATAATAGCAAAGAGAAATTATTAATTTTTTAAAATTTATTACTTTCACAATTATTAGAGGAATCAGACTGATGAAGAGACAGACAATAGCATGCTAGATTCTATTGATCAATGTGAAATTATAAGCAGAATCTCAGACTATGAAGTCTTCAGATGACAACATCCTACATGAGAATCTCCAAACAATATACTTCCAAGGAGAAAAAGGAAATTTAGTATTCTCGTCCAGTTAATCATTCAACTGGGACTTTATTATATAAAATCCTATAACCAGAATCTGGACCATTCTGTTTTCTAAAAGGACACATAACAGTATTCTTTCATCTTTTATGTTTATACACCAAAATATACTTGATATGGTTCGTAAGTGACCAAATGCCAAAGTCAGCTACGTATACAAAAATTAGCAGAAAGAGATAAAGGCAAAAAACTCAATGGATTAGTCAATCCAACTAGTTAAGTAGGAAAATGATATAAAAAGATTATGCTTTCTTTGTTCAGTAAAATTAGAAGCTATCAAAGTTCCAAATATTCTTAAAGTACTGCATTCTGATGATTCAAATGTAAAATGAACCAAGAAATGATAACTAGAACTTACTAGAGATGTATTTTAAATGTGATATCAGTATAAGATGAATATGTTTGGGGTTTATGTGTAATAGCTAAAAAGCATAAGTAATATTTAGAGAACTTTTCTCATTTTAGGCATACGTATTATCAAAACCAGGAATATATGGAATAAAAAGTTGGATTTGCTATGTATAAATGCTAAAGATATCTAATAATGTTGACTATCACCATTCTTTTATTATTCCTACTTCTGTTAAATTATATGTAAAATGACTTTAAAGTATTTAAAAAACAAATAAATATGGCTTATTGAGTCCAATAATAAATATGGCTTATTGAGCCCAAATGATAAATGATGACTATTTTCCCTAGAATACTGTGGATTGAAAATAAAAAGACAACCCTAACAAGAAATCCTTGCCAATTCCAAGCACTATCTCAGAAAGGTGGTTCAGCTGGACTGGAGTATCTCTCGGTGAACTAGAGTGGATGAGTAGTACCACAAGCTTAAATACTGGGGGGGGAAACAGGTTTTAAAACTACCTAAATCCCTTTTTTTCTAACTCTGTTTTCACCAAAGCATAACCACCTACAAGTCTGGCTTCCTATGTAAACTTATTACCTACAGAAAAAAAGGATAAACTATTTTGGACTGTCTTGAGACTTTATTCTCACTGAACACTGAAATGCTGGATCCCATTTTATACCTACATCCATATTCGTGTAAACTTCATTAATAACTTTACTCCTTGAAAGACAAAGCTAACTATGAATGTGGCTCCACTTGAGTGCTGTGGGTCAAATCACATCCTTTTTAAAATAGGCAATATCTCACACAATTTTAAAAAAATCACTTTAATAACGCAGAATTAAAATTGTGCCCTAGTGAATTACGTTCAAAATGTTGATTACTGAATTTATTTATGACTATGTCTTTGGAGTATGAGCACCTCACAGAAATTCCCTTTTTCGGATTTCACTTAAACTTCTAAACTATTCCAAGGGAGCAATTCACACTCTAAAGAAATGGCCTTCATTATTATAAGAATCTAAGTTTCTTCCAATCCAAGGAAGAGCTTAAAGAAGCAGGAGACTAAGGAGTGCCCATGGGATACCTAAAAACACAACAGTACTGAGATTGAAGGATACAGTTTCATGGAGTGAGTGGAGGATGGAATATGAAGAATCAATTTGAAAAGCCTATTTAAGGATTCTACGAAATGACTGCAAGTCAAACCTTATTACAAAATGGTCTTCAACTTCTAGTACACAACCAAATTGTGACTTAAATGGAATGCCAGTCCGGATCCTAATGTTACCAACCTATCATTCAAGTTAATAATGTTCAACTATGCCCTTCAAAGTCAACTATGCCTTTCGAAGTCACAGCCAAATAGAGGTAATAAACACCACAGGTAGAGAATTTTTATGCATTTTACAAAATTTCTAAATGTTAACCACTAAACTGAATACTTAACCATAATGACCTATTTTACAACTACATTAGATATATTTATTGAATATAGATCCCCTGTATCACATTTCATTACAATCTGTAAGGAAATAGAAAATGTACCTTAGGAAAGCAAACGTAAATCTAGAACACACTAATCTACCTAAACAACATTATTACTTCATTTGTATTTGTGGCTGCTACTCCAACAAATGGGTTTCATTAAGTCTTAAAATCTAGCCATTTTCCAAAAGAGAAAATAATAAATAATATGATCACCTCTTTTTTTAATGTATGAGCATTTCCAAGCACTAACAATGGACTTAGTATTATGAGAAAGACTAAGGCAGCTAAAATTTTCATTTTGGTGGCAAGAATCAAACTGAAACATTTTTAAAACTAATATGTAAACAACGCATGTAATGTTTCTTTTATATAAAATACTGGATTTAAAAAATTGTAAGAGTGTCCTATCTCAAACTATCCTTACCCTCTTTACCTAGCTTCTCTCTCAATGCACTAACCTTAATATTATAATTAAAGTATAAAAATGTATAACCATAACATCTGACAATCTGCCATAAAAGATGGAAGGCATGTCACAAGAACAAAACCTTGCCAATTCTTATTTCAACCAGAAAACTTCACGATTCAAAAAAAAAAAAGTTTTCTTCTTATCAAATATGTTAAACCCAAGAAGCAAGCCTTGAAAACCTTGTAAAATTTTATACTGGCTTGAGATGTCAGGCTTCCTATGTAACATATATGTGTGTACATTAATTTGCTGAACAAGGCCACATCTATTTTAAAAAAAAAAAAAAAAAGACAAAGCACACCTCATGCGAAATCACTGGGGAGTGGGGGAAGTTTTCTACTGCCCTTCCAATATCTAAAAACATTATATCATATAACCAGCTCAAGAGAATCTAAATAACTCTTCACTTTCTCATTTCCTCCAACTTTATAAGCTGAGTATTATTTTCTTAGTAATCTTTAGTTAGCAAAAATCAACCATTAAAAAAATACTTATTTAAAAAATTTAATTATATTAAATGTTATAAAGACTTAAAACACATTCCCCTTTTTAAAAAATCAAAACACCACCAATTTGGTTTAAAAATTAATCTTTGAATTTTGCACTTTTCAAAAACAACTTATTATATAGTGTCTTCTTAAGGCCATTACTAGACCGTGACATTAGTTTATGTTCTATAACTTTACATCTCAATAAGTTGACTGGAAAGGCGAACCTAAAGTAGCCAAACATTTTTAAGGTAATAAAATTTCAGTTAACTATATGAAATTGTTAATATTCAACCATTCCTGACTTAAACACTGGAAATTTCATATGGCTGAACTTTAAATAAATGCCTGAAGAGCTCAATGGAAAGCTCTCTCCTGGATCATTTTTGTTCTAAATTTATTACTAATGACCAAATCAAAGTCATCTTTCCGTTCTTCAAAGAGGAGGGGTTCCTAAAGCTGCAGAACAAAAGTTTTGAGTCTGGCATAAACCTGACAACACCCTACACATATAGCATGACATATTAAAGAATAACATTTAGGACAAAAACTGAAACTGGTATCAAGAAATGTTAAACTGAAATAATCTGTTTAAAGAGCCAGTTAAGTTATACATTAGTGCTATACAAGTCAGTTATCATTATTGTTATTACACAGCATTTGTGATTAGGATTAAAAAAAAGTGGCTGATCACTTAAAAAATTAATATACTAATATACTATGTAATAAATTACCTAGAGAAAAATATCAGATTATATTAAAAACCTAAATACTCTTTAAAAAAAAGGCAAACCTGTAGAAATACTGAAATGAGTATCTTAGAAACAACACCCAAAAACAAAACAAACAAAAAAACAACAAAAAATAACAGCGGATGTGAATAAGGAAAAGTGTAACTTAATTACAAAAGTCACTGAACATTATTTTAATTGCCTGGGAGAAAACAAAACATATGTAACAGATAAAAACTTATCTATAAAATGCAAAAATGTCCTACATCAAAAAACGATATGGACAAAAACAGAAAAACAGACAATTCACAGAAAAGGCTAACAGCCAATCAACTAATTTAAAAGATGCTCTCTATTTCTAGTGATGATCATGGAAATAAAGATTCAAAAAACATCAGCTTCCTTCAATTAGGTTTATAAAACTTTATAGATTAATAACATTCCAGCCAATCAATAAGGAAACAAACATCTTCATGTGTTAGCAAAATTATGAAGTAATAATTCAAACAGCATTTTTAGAGGACAAAATGGTACATTTTGGTACTATCAAAATTTCAAATATACATGCAGTTTGATTCAGCAATTGAATCATTTAAATCTATTATCAGAAGATGACATATTAATTCTGGCTATTGAGGGGTAATAAAAAATGTCAATAATTTCAGTATCTTCTAATTATGATACATCTGTACTAAATATTATGAGGTGGTCAGAAAAAAACAAGGTAATCTGTATGTTCTGACTTGAAAATGTCTATGATGTCCTAATTAACTAAAAACAAAAATCACAGATATATAATGTAGTCTCTATTTTGTAACAAAATACAAAGGAAGAAACGCTCAACTCTGGTAAATGGGATTTAGCCTGGGGTGGGCAACGAGCACACCTACACTGAGAGAAGGTTCACTTTTTACTTTATGTAATCCTGTATCATTTCATTTTTTTTATACTGAGCTTTATTACTTTGAATTATAAGGGGGAGGGCCTTTTGAAAGTTATTTTGTTCAAAATATAAAGCCTAACAACCATAATGCCTAAACATTTCAGGTCATATGGACAGATTCCTAACTACTGGTGGCCCCCCAAAAAAACAAAACAAACAAAAAACAATAAATCCATAGGTAGCAAAATTAATTTTAAGCTTCTTTCTTCTGTAAATTTTCAAATTTTTCAAAAGCAAAAAAAATGACTTTTTAATTTCAGATGGTTCTCATAATTGGAAGGAGCAAATTTTAAGACTAAACCATAAAACATAAAGTGAAATAAAACACTCTGTAATCATCAATTTCCAAATGGGCCACAAAGATGGTCCAGGAACTAGACAAGACTTTCCTTGACTAAGATTGGAGACAGCATACTGTTAATAGAAAGAACTCCTCTCAGAATTGACCACCAGACATTTCTAATTCTAGAACATTTCCAAAACTAAGTCATTCCTTGCTTGACCTGACTCATCACCAGAACTGGAAAAAAAACTTCTAAAATAGAAACAAATTTTGAAAAATGAAAACAAGCTTTTATCCATCCTTAAGAAATATGTTGATCAGAAAAGGATATAATACTGAGAAAACCACTTTCACTGACGTTAAAATTCCAAGTGAACATAGTACAATGGTAACCAGCAGCATCACTGCTATAATTCACAGCATCCACCAAAAACTCCTAACTTTACACTTCTTAATTTTCAACACTTTGCCACTTTGTTTCCCCCATGTCTTCCTATACCATGAGACATTTCCCTGAAGACTCCAATACATACACACACACACACACACACACACACACAAACACCCCCCCACCCCCCACTGAGATTAAAGTTACAGGTCTCCTTACACAAAAGATCTTAATACTCACTTTTGGTCGACTATAAAAGAAAAAGGTGAGCAAAGTGAAAGCTTTAATTTTAGAGAGCAGGCTCATGGTACCCTGACACAAGTTATAACACATGCTTTTAGATTCAGCAAAAACAAAAAGACTGCACAGTAAACTTATAGCCAAATAATTAAAATCTAAGTAGAATTTTAAAATGGAAATAGTTCAGGTGGTCAGGGGTTAAGGCATTATAATTCTTTGGTTTCCTAATACAGTATCTGCAATTAATGGAAACTCAAAAGAAAATTTACCATAAAAAAATATGAAAAATAAAAGGTTTACTAAATGAGTTCATTTACCAAGTGCTCAGAACAGTGTCTGGCACATAGTACATATTGTTAGGTGTTTATGAACACCTTCAGATAGCATCTTCATCAGTAAAGATTCTCCTATGCCCCTTTCTTTCCCCTACTTGACTCTACATAAACTAGGTATAAATGAAATTTGAAAATCTCAATAGTATGAAGCCAACTCCTTGTGAGAAATATATTTAGCATATTTAGACACCTTGGAAGAATTGTATCAATTTCTTGAAGATTGAAAATCAAATTTTCTATCTCCAATGAACTCATTACACCTGTGACAATCATTTTCAAGTTTCTTTTTACAGAGCAGCAAGCATATTAATCAACAATATTAACATATTGAAGTCAGACAGACATTCAAGATCTATCAAATGTGAAAAAGTAAGATATAAAGAAGCAGTATAATATGATCTTATTTTTATTTCTTAAAAGAAGGGAGGAAGAAGAGCCTGGGAATGATACCTAACCCAAGAATAGTGATTTTTATCCTTTTGTTTTTCTGTACTTTTAAAATTTTCCAGAATTTCTAGAATATTCAACAAGGCAGTATACTAATTACAATATTTCAAATTACATATGAAATATATTAATGATCACTATAATAAAGGTTAAGTATTTTACAAAGATACTGAGGAAAAAGCACAAGATAAATTTTAAATTAGCAAAAAAGAAAATAGCAACCAATGCCATATAATTGTCTGTGCCAGATTCCATGCAAAGCAATTCAAATGCATCATGATCCTTAACTCTCACACTATTTTATTATTTTCATTTTAGAGATTAACTTGGCCAAGGCCACAAAGCTAAAATAGTTAAGCACTGAGCCATGAATCCTAGTTCTGACTCCGAAACGTAAGCGTTGCTACATTACACAGCCATTACCAACAGAAAGAAAGAAAGGAATTAGATTTATTCTCCATCAGCTAGATTTTCCCACAAGAATATTTATTTAAAACAAAAAAAGACACACAAGAATATAAGCTTATAATACATACCTCTACTTCATCTCCTTCACTGATTTCTTTTTTTATATCAGGTGGTGGTGGTAATCTCACTTCATTAAATGGAACCTGACGTTCTGGCTGCCAACTGAAAGATTAGTAAAGAAAAGAACAATTTTAAAATATATTATTCTAATAGCCCCTAATATGGAAACTACATAGTCTATGCTAAGTGCTTTATGTTTTTCAAATTAGTCATTTAGTAGTCCCTAAAGAAAAACAATTTTTATATTTTTCCAAGTAATTAGTTTGTTGAGGTAGAACAGGTTTCGTATGATTCTTAATGAAAGTTATAAATAATTAATATCATTAAAAATTACATTATTATCTGCCAAATTACTCATCCTAAGGGAACAGTACATACATTATTCTGCAAATGAAATAGACTACACTCATAGTAATGACTTAGATTTGAAATAATATCCCATCTACACCACTGCCAAATTAGCAGCAGTAAGATCAACTTAATTCAAACACACAACTATGTGACCTGTCAAAAGAACATAATTTCAGAGATTATAAAACAATACAAGCTACATAATTTTTTTAGTGTACATGTTTACAAAAATACAGAAAATTACTCAATTTTTGAATAGCTGAATTAAATGATTTGATTTTTTCACACAGAATTTAGCTTTTCTACAGTGAATGTATACATAATTAAAACCTAGAAAGGCTTAATCTTTGAAGCAAATATGTACCAACACTACACTACGAATTTCTTTATTGCTTAACGGACATTTTTTGTGTTGTATTTTATAAACTGAGTCGATGAGCAACTTAAAGTTTTAATAGGTCATTCATATGCCTAGGAAGTGTACCAGCACATAAAATGTTCCTACAGCTTCTACCTGCCAGTGGAGTGGCAAAACAACAGAAGACAAGATTTTTGAGTGCTTTCTTTTCACCATTACTGTTTAAATGGCAGCTGCTAAGAGACAGAAATCACCACACTTGTTTCCACATGAAACAGCTGTTGGGCAAGTATCTTTTCAGATAGCTCCAGAAGCAGCTTAAAAGTCAAAGTTGAACAGTTCTTTTCTGACCTTCAGTTATACAGTGTTCCTTTATAACCCAAGCCCAGGATACTGTCATTCACGTTTTTTGAACATTACACCTAGCCCATACAATATTTATAAAATTAACATTATTCCTTATTAATATCAAGCAACTGAAAGTGGCTTAATATTCATACTGACTACCAGCAGTCATTCAGAAAGCCTACATCATTTCAACATTGTTTTTTTGTAAGAATTAAGCATATTGTAATCCCATTTGTGCAGCCTATTTTTGCAAAAACTAGTTACTGATTCATGGTCACATGTGTTTTATCAAAGAAAAGAGTTATGAAAAGGGTGATGAACAAATTGTGGGCAGAAAAACAGGTAATGAGTTATCAAAATTAGAATTAACTGAACTCACAGGATGATCAAACCACTTAAACCCGACCCAAAAGCAAAATCATTTTCCACTATCAACAGGAATACTCAAAGCAAAAAGTTTAGGACTATCCATCTTTAAAATTAACATCCCTATCAGTAAAAAGTAACTTACTTGTTCTCGAAAACAACTGTGAGGGAGTCTTCATGAACATCTTTGATAAATCCCTGCAAAAAACAAAAACATTAAAAGTGTATCAGCATTCAATTAAATGTTAACTCTAAAAGGCGATATTAAAGATTCAAAGGTAATATGGGACACTGATAAGAACAGAGTTTGGAATTGAGCAAATCTGAGTTTGATTTTCAGTTCCATCATTTGTAAAACATAAGACCTTGGAAGTAACTTAATCTCTTTGAACTTCAGTTTCACAGAGTATCATAACCTCACTTTCACACACCTACCTCAGAATTATGAAAAAATAAATATATATGCCTGAAACATCACAGGTATTAGTCAATACTCAACTGAGTGAAGCAGTATTTAGTACTGTGACTAACAGTTCAGGCTCTAGGGTCAGGCTTCCAGGATTCATATTCCAGGTTCTATCACTTACATATTGAGCATAGTTTTAAAACTCTAATTCAATACAGTATCATACCTCATAGAATTTTGAGAATTAAAATAATTAATGTTTACCACAGTACTTGACATGGAGAAAGAACTCAAATTTATTTCAAATATTAGCTATAAATATTAAATTATAGCTCAGCTTTAATAAAAGGCATGACATTTTAAATACTAATCTTGCCATTAACTTATTTTTCCTACAATATCTCTCCCTCCTTCACTTTAAAAAAAATGGGCTATAAGTATATTGCCTCAAAACCATTTTGGAACGACTACAGATTCTCAATTTTAATCAGTAGTCATTTTCTAGCCTTGAAATTAATTTTGAAATTAGTCTTTTTATACTGTCTTCATTTAATTAATACAACCTAAAGAAACCATGATATGACATAATCAAAAAAAGGGCAAAGGACCTGGGTGTAGAACAACTGTTGTTCAAATCCCTGCTCCACCACTATGTAACTTTGGGCAAGCAGTCCTTCCTTGACTACAACTGACATTAAATGATGTTTTATATTTATGTTAATCAGAACTGCAAATTTCTCAATCCTAGTCAAATGCTACATGCACACTTGGAAACACTAGGTAGCTAGTAAATACTTTCCTAAACATCTTTATCATACTGGACTCCACAATGTGCACTAAAAACTATCAAAAATAAACACAAACTCCTGCAGTACCTGGTAAAACATAACAGAAAATGAACACATCTGTTTGCCTCATCTCCCTCCCAGAAGTCCATTAAGTAATACGAAAGGGATTTTATGGCATAAATCCCTAATAAAAGACAACAGAAAGAAAAACTTGCAACAAAACTTGAGAAATTTACAAAGTAGATGGAAGAGGAGTAACAAAAAAGCAACTACTGCTACTATTTAAATACTACGGCTTAGATATTATTCTAAGCAAATTAGCAAACCAAAGACTATGAAACAAATTCACAGCAGAAAAACCTTAAAGCAAGATCAGCACTACCACCACAGAAAAATCTTTGGAACTTGGAGAGGAAAGGATAACAGATGGAGCTAAAAATAAAATCATTTTATTTTATTTAGGACATTTCAATAAAAACATCCTCATGTGAGGCCTAAAATGCAGGATACAGCAGGTCCTCGAATAACAAATAATGTTGCCTCTCTATAATGTTGAGGAGGATAAAAAAAAATCAATTCCTGTCCAGGGCCAATCCTGTGTGGCATTTGCATGTTCTCCCCATGTCTGTGTGAGTTTTCTCTGGGGACTCGGGTTTCCTCCCACATCCCAAAGATGTGCCCGTGAAGCAAACTGGCATGTCTCAACTGTCTGACTGGGTGTTGAGAGTGGGTGTATGTGATTGTGCCCTGCTATGGAAGAGTGTCCTGTCCAGAGTTGGTTCCCATGTTGCACCCTGCCTGAGCTGCAGGGATAGGTTCCGGTCCCTGCTCCCCTTGCCCCACACCCCTGAAGTAGAAGAAGAGGGTTGGAAAATACTTATTCTCACTCATTTCTATTAATCTTTCTTAAATGTCTGTAAGCTCATTTATTTCAATGTTTAATATGAGAAGTGTTTTGAGTCATTTAGAAATTTGGTGACATTTTTGTGATCAGAAATGTGCTTTCAGAACTTAACTCATTTATATATCAATTAGCCTATTGTAAAACTAGTTTTATTATATGTCATTTGCTTAAAGCTGCAGTTTCCCAGAACCCATTTGATGACATTAAGTGAGAAAGTACTGTACCTTCCTTTCAAAAGTGCTACAGTAGCTCCTTTCTTGCAACTGCAGCGACATTTTTTATTTCCCTTTCTCCTCCCATAGCTAAAATTTAAGAGCTGCCACTCTAGTTCAAGTTCTATCTCACCATGTCATAATCATGACTTCCTGGTCTGTTTCTCTATTTCTAGTTCATACACACATCCACTTTCAGCAATCACTTTTGGTCAGCACTTCCATAATTGTTACCAGTACATCTATCTCTATTATACCCTTGCCGTTTCTAAGGAACATTTCAGAAACTAAGAATTTTCAAGTCTATGAATATTAGAGTAAAACATCTTATCATCAGAGGTCAATCATACTTTCAACTTTCAATAATGTTTTCTAGTCCTTCACAATTTTCAAAGTTTGGAATGTTTTGTTAATCCTTTTTATTTCTGTATAATTTATATAGCGGATTAGCTCAAATCAAAACTCTAAAGTCACTAGGAAATTCCAGTCATCGTTATAATAAAAACTTTCTTTTCTAAAAAAGTCAGTGCTTATTCTTCTCCCCACCCCATCCTCACTTTACTTTCACCACCACATCAATATCAGCTTTGTCTGGGTGCACATTTTCCACAACCTTTAAGAAAAATACAGCTCTGGCCATCTACTCTTATTGCTAATATCCTCCAGGCTTAAGATTAAACGGATTAAGGACTTAACAACCAGTTCTTAAAATACGTTTGGACTGTAGTGAAAAATCAGAAAATGTTTTCCAATCTCCAAACTCTAGGTTCTAAGAATAAGGTACTTCTAGTGGCCAATCTCTATTAAATTGTGTCCATTTTATGCAGGACACTATCAATACCTTTCAAGATATTTTTGTACTCTCCAAATCACCAGAGTGGTGGGTCCCTTTATACTTAAGGCCCAAAATGGCAGAGTTGGGTCTTGCGCAAAATCTTTGAGTAGGGGACACCAAATAACAATGGCTACATTTGTTATTTGGGGAGCTTTATGACTTCAAGTCTCCATAACTCTGTCCTCCTAGTGTTAGTCCAACCTTTAGGGATTTTGTCTCTTTTACTCATCTGGCCTAGGAACGATATTTCTCAGAATAAAACTTTTCACATTTCTTTTTTCTTCTTCCCATACATATAGATACGAAAGATTCCAAGGCATCTTTATAAAATGGTCCCTTAATTTGTTCACTCATACAGTCTGATATGTTTACATTTGATTCTCTTAACTATAACTTAAAATAACCACCAGTAGTAACAAGACAATGTAACACACTTGAAATATTATCAAAATATCTTAGAATATGCTTCCTGACAA